AAAAATTTCACTATAGCAATCTCAGCGGATTATCTGCAAAATCCCAATTTAATATTCCTCTATACAATATCATACTCAGCAATTACTCTAATTGAATTTCCTCCCACGCCGTAAAAGTCTTCTTTGTCTCGAAGACAACGACGATAAAATGAAAATAGCACGAGAATGAAAGAAAAGGGAAAACATGCTTAATGGGTTTGCCAATCAGGATGAGAAAGAGTTTTCGAATTAAAATCAGTCTTAATGAAAGGGTTAGCTCTTCTGACAGAGGCAGAAAAAAGTCTAACAGTAGCTCTACCATCTTCTTTTTAAGCTCTTCTTAATTTGAGGTTTTATGCATCTCACCTGAAGTATAACGTCCTCGACGCGAGTTTTGCGCTGATTGTCAGGAACGTTCTTTTCCATGCGCAGGAAAGCCTTCAGGTAAAAATCCAGAGCATCACAATTATTCACTGGCAAAACAATCACAACGGTCAAACACTGTGCATGCTTCGTTTCGGTGGTAAAGACAAATGACAGAACCCTTTTCTGTGTTTACCGGAAACTCTACCATGAACACAACAAAAATTACTAATGCCAGCACGGCCAAGCTTATGGGCGACTTCATCACCGTGCAGTGCAAACTGTGAGAAAAGGAATCAGCAGAGTGTCATAAAACTACCACAAAGTCGGAAAAGTCTAGAACGACAACACATGTAAATCTCGGCCTTAGAAACGTCGAAATGTCCTTAGAAATTGTTAAAAACACTATGTCTCCACAGAAAAGTCGTGCTTACATTTGCAAATTAGCCATGATGCTTGTGTGTTTGACTGCCAAATCGACTAAACATGAACGTACGAGATTTCTGCTGGAAAATGTTACAGAATGCCCAAATTCTGGAAAAATGGAGGACCATGAAACAGGATTTTTCCATTTCCTTTCTCCTAGCTACTCTCCCCCTTCTTCTGCTTTTCTTTAACCTCCCCCCCCCCCCCTTAACTCAACAACAATAACTTGCTAGGACGTATTCACTACATTCACCTGAAACGTAAGATGTTCCCTAACAGTGAGAGTCCCGACAAAGAGATCTTCTTGCTGAATGTAAGCAGACATAGAAGAGATCTCTGGTCCAATGGGACGATTATTTATCTCCACAGTCCCCCTTACTTCCATCTGACAGATGTTGCGGTGGGCCAGCACATTCATTAGGGTGGTTTTACCAGCACCGCTGCAGGAAAATAAAGAGACACTCTGTAAGATGAAAGCTGATCCAGGAGCTCAGATCAGCAAAAAGGCGACTTAGCTAAATGAAAAAGGTGGAGGGATCAGAGAGCCTTTTTTTTTTTTATCTTTAATGCTTTTCAGACGGACACAGGCGGGCGCAAGGTGAGGGTGACAACAATGGAAAGGGCCAAAAATATTATTTTCTTCACGCTCCACCCGCCGCTTGTCTTTTCTGGCTTAAAAGACGCAAAAAAAAGTGACCACTCTTTCGTAGGCTATATCTTACCTCGCACCCATAACAGCAAGCAAGGTACCAGCTTCAACGTTTCCGCTAACTATGGACGAAAACAAAGTTTGGAGTTACAACGAGAAAATTGGTCAATTAAGAGGTTATTTTTCGTCCCTACCTCTTCCTGAAGCTTGGGAACACTCGAAAACCTTAATTGTTGCAATCCCAATTTAACAATTCAATTTATTAAAGCTAACTTTGGGATGATTTAGATCAGCAATGGTAAAAAATGAAGATATAAGACGTGTAGGGGTTCGGGAAGGAGTGTGATATCTGTAATTTGCGGAAGGCCTGAAGTTAAACTCGACGATGTGTTTTTCGACGGCCGTGTATTGTTGTACTATTTACGGAATAGGTCCTATTTCCAATGACGTATTAATGTCACGCTGCGAGTAATTCGAATCAGAGATCGAGGTACAGAACATGCAATGTTTATAACAGAAAAATAGCGAAATATAACGATTAACTGTCCATTCGAAGCCTATGCGAGTTCTCTGTTCTTACACCATCAAGGTAATCATGGCTCCCAGAGAGCTTTCTTTCCGTTCCCGATCAGTAGGGTATGATACGAAAAACAGGAAGCCAGACCACGAGCGGTGGTACGACCTTGAGTGGATTCAACACCGAAAACTGAAATTCATTTCATAACCTACCGTTGAACAAGATTTGCTTGCTTTTAACTACTTCGTTTTCACTTTTCCCAAACGAACAGAGTCTCTTTATAATGGACGGTCTGGGATTCTCAACAAACACTTCAATGTTTTCCCAAGAAATTGAAACCCTGTCACTCGCGTCTTCGACAACTGTGCTTGATTTTAAGCCACGTTTTGTTGACGCTGTTTCCTCTATGTTGCTCGAGATTCCGCTGTCTTTAGAAATTCTGGAATCAAATGTTGAATAGCCCGGCAACTTTGGATTTTTCTTCCTTCGAAGGAAAGGAGAACGATCCGCCATCGTTTAACTGAATCAAAAAGGCCTCTGCTCGAATTCCTCAGTTCCTCGTTGAACGTCACGCAATGGCTGTAATATCAGTTTATCTGCTTTGCCCCCAGGGGGAGGGTGAGAAAGGGTTTAAACGTGACGCGTGATTAAGGTTAAGAGACTTAAAGAAAAACGAGCGTGGCTCGTGAATTCATGACCCAGCGTTGGGCGTGATTTGGCTCCTGGAGTATACGTGACCCGTGAATCCCGCCCACAAGGAGATAGATTTAAAATTGCCCCTTTTAAATTTATGATGTGTGAAATGCTCTTTAAAGTACATGTGACGCGTGAATTTTTCTTAAATTTGTGCGTGAAACGGGATCAAGATCCCCCGCTTTATCTTATGCTAAAGTTACCGTATGAATTATCGATCCATTGCGATTTGGTCACATTCTGGTTAGGAAAAATACATGCAAAGTTAACTCTCAAGAAATTAGCCTGCACTGCAGGTGTCTTATTATTGGGGCGAGCGAACCATTAAGCTCGTGATCGTTTATCTGACTAGCCATGTTGGATTTGGAGTGAGAGTGGACGGTGGGGGTAAGGGGCAGGGAAAGGGCGAAAAGTAGTCTTCACTCCCCCCACCCCCATCCCTCTCCTTATTTTTGACCGTTGACTGCCTCTTTAGTACAAATTTCTTTCTCTCCTCAGCCTTCTGCCGCCATTAAAATCAAAGATGGCGGCCACAGTTTTCGTGAAGAAAATACTGAGCATTCGCTCGCCAAAAATACGCCTGCTCTGCAGACCACCAAAATATGAGCTATAATTTGTTGTTCCTGCCGGCTAATGGGTTTTTGCCGGCGATCTTCAATTAGAGCCTGTTTACTTGTATGCGACCAGCTTTTTTTTCTATGCTAGAATGACGATCTTTCAGTCGATTTATTGACGTCAAAGCACGCCGGTATTAGTTCGATTCTTCTTCGGTTGCTTTCCGCATCTCGGCAAAAACGTCATGGGTTAGTTCTCTAGTATTGGAATAGCACGCAAGTTTTTTCGTGATGGTCTATGCTTCGTCAGAGTGATAAAAGGATTAGTAACTAGGAAGTTTTGGGTTTCGGTAAACATAAGCAAACCGACTGTCTACGTACATAAATATGTCCGAGCTCAGAATATTAACCAAAGGAAGGGAAATTTTCTGAATTTCTAACACTCCTCAGTTTGATGCTGCACGAAGTTCAAAGCAAGAAATTACTCTTATCAACTTGAAGAAGATAATAGTGCATTCAATACATATTTTAATTAGTTTCCTTTCCTCTGGTTTTTTCTTTCCGACAGAAATTATTTCCAAAAACATTTATAATTTTCAACAAATTCATTATCTGTAGCTTGAAAGCGGAATAACGTTACCTATTGTGCCGATGCGAGAGAAACAAAAGACTGCAACATCCCGAGGAGAATATTTTGTTTCTTTATTTCCGCCGAGACGGTCAATTTGAAGCCTGGCGACATCGCCTTAACTTAGAGAAGAATGGACTACGGACTAATATCAGCCAGCCAGACGGCGTAAAACTCACCCCTTTAATCTTCAATAGGGTAAAGCTGCGCTTCAAAACGCGAATTCTTAAAAATATTTAAAATATATATACAAGAGATTTCAATGTATCTCGTCGTTTTGTTTGGCGTACCGATCTGCGAACTCAGCATCGTCATGACATTATTTTCGCCGCAGGCTGTTAACATTTAACGGAAAGAACCAGAGATCCACCCACGAAATATCCGTTCATGTGAGTTTCATGACCTCTGGATTGAAATCACTCTATGCAAAATTAATTCGATAGAAATAGTCGACTCTACCATATTATTTGTACTCCACTGCGACAAAATAATATATCTAACAACTCCTGCTGGTCAAACCAAATTGCAGTGACGTTATCATAGAGAAAAGCTAAGAGAGAAAAAGGCAAAGCCAAATTGCGATTAATTAGCATATAGCATATACAAACGGTATTACTTTAGAGATGTTTGTTTTTTTTTTAATTTTTTAAATCACTTGAAATCTCATAACAACATTTGATATTCTCATGAAGTTTGAGATAATTTTTCCTGGGGGTAGTTTAACAGGCTAATAAATTTCCTATTTGGCAACCTTTTTCGGTTTTGCATTTCGGTTTTCATCGATGATTACGTTATTGCAATTCATTGCAAATAATTTAGGTCACCACGCAGACAGAAATACGGAAAAGACTTCCGGCCGAAAGCCATAGTATATTGGACATTATAATTCCACTAGCTTTTACCTTAGCTTAGCTTCAGGGCATTGGAACGCGCAAATTATGCCATGGTCTTTCACTGTGGAACAGAGAAAAATACGAACGGAAAGCAAAGTTAAAAAATTGTATTATTCAACGATACAAACTTTTCCTTTTTTTCCCTTTTGTCAGGCTTGTCTTCTATAATTAGAGCAACGAACTTTCTAGCCCATCCGGATTTATTTGGTTAGGCATGAAGAATGGTTGAATGGTTTTATTTATGTTGTTTTCGTATTTCGCCCACGCCTCATGCGATCGATGCCGGCGATGTTCAAATATGGCCGTAGGAAGTATTTCGAAAACTAGAGGCCAAAAGTTAGAACATGAAATAATAATAGAGACATCAGTGGGTTTGAATTTGAGACACTTTATGAAACGTTTAAGACTAAAATCAAATAAAACCCTGTATTCAATTATGCTGAAAAAATGTTTACATGCTTACACAGTTTATGATGAAGTTTGCGGTATTTTCTGGTAATGTGAGCTAAATCGATAGTTTATTCCTGTTCTTTTATGAATTAAGTAATGCGTTAAAATGAAAGAGTAGTTTTTATGGGATTAATGTGAGTTGTGATCCGTCCCTGTTTCAATTTTTGTTCGTTCTTGATCAATCGTAACGAGTTTGGGAACTACTCTTTGTGGATAGAAGGAAGGAACATTTTTTCTCAATACACATGTATGACCGGCTCCGTGAACAAGCGCTGGATTGGGCGAATTCTGAGTTCTGACTGGATGACTAAGTTGGGCACGTGGGCCTGTCGTGCCTGTGCACGCCCACGTGTGCTCCTCATGACGAGGCAAAATATTCACATTAAGTAATGTTTAGTTAGATAATAAATCATTTATAGAGCGAGCTTTCATCTTAAACTAACCATGCATTTTTCTCGTTCCAAGTAAAGAACCTGTATAATTTGACCTCGTCTGGCGCCAAAAAATAACTTAGCGAGTATTTAGTCAGCACCTGTTTGGATTTTACACATGCTCATTAACGTAAACATATCATTAGTTCTGCCTTCAAACTTTTGATAACTAAGTTTTGTTGCCGAACGCTTGAAAACATTACAAGATAGGATCCTTCTGTCCAGGTAAGTTCGCACGGCATATTTTGAATTAATATTCTAAGTCCTTTAACAAGTGCGTGCTCTCTTACCTAGTTAAATGAAAATGATTCTTTTTCTTGTCCACCGATACATAACCTCTAGTTAATTTCTATGAATATGGGAAAGTTACTCGTACTTAATCTAGTTGACTAGTTTACCGCAATTAATGTATGTTCGTATGGCTATGTCATTTGCAAGTGTCACAATCTTGTTTAATCCCAGAAAACAGGGCACGTATTTTTGACTGTATTTTCATAACTGAAAGAAGGACAGTTTTTTATTTCTTTTAATCGTAAAACTTGTTTAAAAATAGCTTGATTCACAAAAGATGGCCTGTGATTCCTGTCATCACGTAATGTTTTTATAGCTCATTTACAAAAACAAAGTTTGCTCTTGATATGATCGAAAATCTTTAAAGGGTAACAGCTATTAGTAAATAGACCCCTTCAGGCGACAGGCATGTCGGCTTATAGTGTCTGCGGTTGAGATATTGCCCGAGAAATGAATATTTGGCCGGGAGGCGATGATTCGAGGACAAATGTGAAATTATGAGCCAATAGGATTGCGCGAAAATTAATGGGTGGGTTATAATGACCATTAGTTAACAAACGTAGGAAACTTTTCATCAAGGGGGTAAATTTATAAGGAAATCGTGGTGCTGCGTCAGTAGGGGTATTACACGATAATTTGGTTTTATTACCTCAAATTATAATTTAAATTAGCCATTGTAAAGAGTTTCTTAAGCTGATGTTTCGAGCGTTAGCCCTTAATCATTCTCTCTGACGAAAGGCTAATGCTTAAAAAGTTAGCTTTGAAAACTCGTTACAGTGGTTGGTTTACATTATCAACTCAGTTGATAGGAAAGATAATTGAAGGTTAGCTTCAACGCTGACAAAGATGCGAAAGGTTTGACAATCAACCAACGTCCTTTCACAAAAGATACAAAATTCAGAACTTACCAGTGAGACCAGTTTTAAAATAATTTGTGTAATTGACTGTATATGTTGTTGTTTTGACCTGTTGATCATCTTTTCCGTGATTTAAATTTTTCATATTGACGGAATTAGATTTTGCCAATCAGAGGGATTATAAATGCGTGTTTAAATTTCGCAAGGATTTTTATTCACGCCTCTTTAATTCAGCTATTTATTTCATGTCCGCGAAAAACGCGAAATTTAGTACCAATTGAGTACGTAAATAAAATAAAAAAGTAAATCAATTTGCTTTTTCTTTTCTGTGACTTTTTTTTCTCTTTATCTTTAGGTCGTTGAACTATATACAAATAAAAATCAAAGGAAACTCAATGGTTCTGAACACCAGTGCCAGTAATCAACAGAATGTGAGTAAGCTGTCCATGATAGCAGCAGTAGAATCACAATGCATTCCATGGTTAGCTGTGTTCATCGCTGAATTTCTGGCCATAATTATTCTTAACATCATCATCATTGTTGTGTTTGTGAAGAAGCGCCAGCTACTACGCCGAAGCACATACTTGATCATCCATCTGTTAGTAGTCGATCTTATAGTTGGAGCAGTGGCAGGCCCTGGATGGATCGTGGAAGATATGAGTCTATACTGTCATCAGAGCGAGGAGTACCAGTTCCCTGGTTGGTTCTCCAAGGCATCATCTGAATTCACCATCGTCGTCTGTCTCAACCTCTTTTTCATTTCACTAGAGCGAGCACACGCCACATTTCGTCCATTCAAGCATCGTTTCCTCAAGAAATGGATTTATGCTGTGATAATCGCTATCATTTGGATAGTATACGGTGGCATACTGGTCAGTAAAGTGTTTACAATTGACGATCACTTTCGCTTTGATTGGAGTACGAGTCGCTTCCTTCCTCTGTGTGTTCTTTGTGTTTCTTATGTCAGTATATTTTTTAAACTCCGCTTCGGTCGTCATCCTCAACAAGTTGGTGCAGTCGGCTTGCGGGAAAGAAAACTGACCAAAACCTTGTTCCTTATAACTGTAGCATCTTTATTAAGCTGCCTTCCAATGATTATCTACAACCATTTTATAGATGTTCGAATTGATTTCGACATTTCTCAGCAGCTACACTTCCATATGTATATGACATTGTTCGTAATTTACCTTGCTGGTTCGCTGATTAATCCAATACTATACGCCATGCGGGTCCCAGGAGTAAGAGCAAGCGTATCACAACTATTCTGCAGGAAATAGTCTGTGAAACCCAAACAATAATCACTTCAAGATCTCCACTATCTCAGGATTTGAAGCAGTGCGCTGTTTAAATAACAGTTTGTTTAAGGCTGCTTAGCATTTTCTGCATTTTATGAGGGAAAAAATACGTTAACCAAACAGAGGCAGAAGCTAAGGAACTGGTCATTGTTTATCATTATTTATCCCCTGGGGGGGAGTGGGGGAATTTTGGATGTGTCACGATAAGATTTACAGACCCTCCCCCAAGGGTTCTGTAATATTCTTATGATCCCCTCCCTCATTGGCAGTTAATTGGCAATCAATTTTCTATAGACCCCCTAACACTCTTTTGATGACGACTGATTCCTTCCTCTGTTCCCCCTTAAAACCATGGGATCCCCCTAAAATCCACTTATTCCCCACCCAACCCCCCGGCGATGGAAAAAGTACTGGTCCCCAAAAATCATCGATTTCGATCAGAAGCCTTTGTGGATCGTGCTAATAAAAGTAGCATATTATGCTACTAGCATCGCTCGCCCTTTTTTCCAAATTATGCTCAAAATTGCGTTGATTTTCAGTAAAATTATGCTACTTTTTCTTTTCGGAGAAACAAACACAAACAAGTCCTATTGTAGTTTTAGTCTTAATAAAGCATTGTATATTCTTTATCTTGGATTGCACTCTTGCTCTGATTAAACACAGCTAACTACTGGTATTTTGTTGCCTATGAGAATGGGAAGTAGTACCGACGTAAATTTTACTTCTGCTGTGCGCAGTCCTATGGACGGAAAACGACCCTAGGGCATCACAAAATTCAAATTAGAGTGAACCATCGACTGAACTTGAAAATAATCAGTCTACGAGACAAGCAAGTCGTGAATCTGATAGCATTTCCTTAAAAAAAAAATTATGCTGATTATTACACGCCATCCACTTTTTAAATTCAATTTCATTGCGCGATGAAATCAAAATATCGCGCGATAAATATTTTTTTATCGCGCGATAAATGGGAAACTTGTTTGGTCGCACGTGATCGGCTATCACGCACGTTGTTTCCGTGAATGACAATGGCCGCCACAGTTGAGGAAGTATGTTTCGAGGTCAATAGTTCGTTTTATTTTCGTTAAAAGATTAAGGAGTACTTTGCAATACTTCTACGACACATAGCTCTGTAAATCAGTACAATAAACCTTGATTTTGCAAGGTGTTGTGCCCTTGAGACGTGTGGGGAAAAAAATGTGAGCTCCGCTTTTAGGTTTGACTAAATCTATATACCGCGCGATAATTTGATTTTATCGCGCGGTATTTTGATTTTATCGCGCGATAAAATTGAATTTAAAAAGTGAATTGTCCTTTATGGGCCACCGTATCTATGGGCCATTATAAAATAGTTCCAAAATTAGGTGATAAAGTTGCTCAGTTGATAAGGGCCCAATCGATCACCGTTACGTAATCTAAGTATCTAAAGCGAGGAAAAACCACATTTTGGCCTGAAGGATTGTGGGAAAGAGAGGTTGCATTTTTGTCACGTGGATTCGCTGTTGATTAAGTGCTCATCAAGTTAGCAAGACCTCAAGCTAGCCAGACTACACTGCACAAATGAGGCATGCAATAATTTTTTCCCTAAAACTCTTGATACAGGAAGTATTCGGTTGTTGTAATTTAGTTTGTTGTGTTTCATTCCTTTAGATTGCGTTTACATCGATTGATAATCATTGCTTGTTATTTTGGCAGTTGATATAGAGATCGATTCATCTCATGTGAAGATAGCAGGCCACAAAAAAAGAGTTTTGTTCGAGAATACCAAAAGGAGCAAAAATTAAGAGAAATCAGACAAAAAAACCTCTCTGATAGACAAGGTGGTTTAGTCGAATCAGGTCATGTCCACTTCTTTTCCCCATCCCTCCCGTCCCTTCCCAGTCTGATGCATTCCTTATGTACCGTTGCACTTATGTCCTCTTATTGCAGATATGTTCTCTGACGTAATGTGATACAGTGGCCAATCATATCCTGCGATCTATCGAGCGACACGCGGCTTGGGACTGGTTAAGAGACTCCGTTGTTGCTATGTCTTCAAGCAAAAGTACTCATTCAAGGGGGTCGGGATAAGTGGAAAATTTGACCAGTATTTTCCAGTAACTGATCTGAGGAAAACATGCTGTTAGCATGATCACTGCGAACCGAATCATTGGTCTCTGACATTGCTTTCCTTGAAGTTCTATCGTTCCTTCGTTAACGCAGAGTGATCGCATCGTTGTTATAACCTAAACGTGGAAGAACAATTTGCTGTGCGTGAATAACAAAGCGACTTTCGACCAAAGGATGCGTTATTGTTCACGTTTTATTTGCAGCCTTGCTTTATTTACAGTCTTGATTGCTCGACTTGCGACTTCAATGACAACATTTTAGCCACAAGCTAAGACAAAAGCACTGTGTGGCGTCATATCACAATTGCTTTATTTTCTTTAATAGTTGAAGATCATAGATAATGGTTCGTCGACATAAAGTTATATATTTTTGACACTTCACCTGATCTGCCGGAGGTGAGATCGACTGAGAAGTTCAAGTTGTGATTATTTGTCTGCGTCACAAAGTCTTCCTTCAGTCACAGAAGTTTGGCCTTCAGTTGTTTATTTTGAATACTGTGGGTTTTTGCCGTATCGCACTGAGCCCTCCGTTAAAAAAATTGAAGTGGTAGATTGTGATTTTATAGCGGTTCCGCAGATTTTAGCTGTATTTTTTTTTAGTACTGTTTCTAAATTATTGTAAGATTTATTGCACTTTTGGGTGGATTTGTCCTATTTTACCCTGTTTATGACAAATTCACACAATTAAATAAGGTTCTCATTTTACAAAAACGTGCTCTACGACTAATGTATTTTGCGGATAGCAAATCTCATAGTGCCCCGCTATTTGTTAACTCCAGAATCTTACCAATAACTATGCTCTATTCTCATTTGGTTTCCTCTTTGATGCATGACATTGATAATCACCGTGCCCCGTCTAATATTTCTATGCTCTTTATCCACTCCGAGCAGGTTCATCACCATTTCACAAGATTCTCAGCAACGGCTAATCTGTACGTTAAAGCGTCTAGAACTAACCAACTTTTATTTTCTTTTGCTAGAATAGGTGTAAGATTGTGGAATAGCATCCCAAAAGAACTTCGTATTAAAAACAGAACCCCGTTTAAGCGTGAACTTAAAAATCGCCTGTTAAAACTTTTGGAAATTGAGGAGATGAATGTTGATATACGCTGCTCTGAAATTTGTAAATATCTCTTGATAAAGTAACTCTTCGTTTAAGTCTTGTTTCAATTGTATTATATATCTTGATAACTTTGCAATTGATTATTTAATTATTCAACGGACTTAATTTTATTTTATTTTATTTAACAATTGTATTTTTATTAATGATTATCTTTGTTTAATTGTATCGGTATGTGATCCTTAGCAGAGACAGCACTTGTTTTAGAAGGGTGGCCCGCCTAGAATAGCTTGCTAATTGCGGGTCACCTAGGACTGTGATAATATTGTATTGCTAACAAATAAAATTGAATTGAATAAAATTGAAAAAAAAATGATTAAATCAAAAATGGGGCTAAAGGTGGCTATAGCAAGTCACTAGGATAGAATCCACCTAAAGGTTGAATTTCACAGAATTTATCCCGTTTTTCTAGAATTCATTGGAAAAAAATGGAAAATCGGGTTGAAGATTGGATATGGCAACTTGGGATCTATTCCATTTGGAGGATAACTTTTCAGATTTTATCCCGTTTTTTATCAAATTCACTGCAAAAAAATGGAAAATCGGAGTAAAAATAGCAATGGGAACTTCAGGTATTATTCACTTGCAGCATAAATGCTCAGAATTGACCCCGTTTTTCTCGAATTCCCTTATCAAATCACAGGCGGCCCAAGCTCCAGCTGCGAGATGATCATCTTGCGCAATAACAGTCAAGGCGGAATTATAAGAGTTTGTATGGGCATATTTACGACCGCTCTGAGGAATAAAAAAATACGTCAAATTCTCAAAAAAAATACCTCACCTTACTTCCACAGTGTATCGCTTGTTATCTGACCCCTTACTTTGATGAAAAGAACCCATTTTAGCGATTTGTTCATTTCGAGGTTTTCAACGTACATAAGAAAAGCCAAAAAATCTCAAAACATACTTCCTCACCTGTGGCGGCCATTGCCATCCACGGAAACAACGTGCGTGATGGCCGATCATGAGCGACCTAACAAGTTTCCCATTTATCGCGCGAGATTTTTTCGCTGGAAAAGAGGATGTGGCCTTCCCTATAAAATACTTATCAGTCTGCAAGTTTTGGTGCTATGTTTCACCACTGTGATGTTCTAATTGTTGAGACCGGTCTGTATATTACTCACACCCTTGGAATTTAAGCCAATTTAGCGTTAAAAAAAGTTTTCAGACAATTGGAAATTTTCCCAGAAGTCGCTATATACACAGATGCATGTGCATATATTGACGGAAAACTATTGATTTATCTTTGCTTGACAAGCAAAGTGTACATATACATAGAGGACTACGGGTTCTATGCACCGTCAGATAAAACATTGTAACAGAATATTTGAAGGGTTGAGTGCAAAAGAAGCCATTCCAAAAGGATCTCATTCCAGAGAGACATCTGCCCAAAATGCAGGATGCTTATATGAGAAAAAAAAAAGAAAACCAAAGTTAAGTAATTCAGATTTAATCAAATTTTTAACAGATGACAATATTAACAAGCATTACTTTCATGTCACTATTAACATGCATCACGAAAGAAGACAATTGAGAAATAACTATTATTCATGCTAATACTAAGTCAAGGCTTTGTCACAGTTTATTTCTCAAAAAGATATTGTAGATGAATATGAAGAGTGATCTTATCCAACCGGTGAAATTAGTCATAAACTACTGTGCATTACAAAATTTTTGGTTTAGGTCATGTTTTCCATACACAACATGGGGTGATCCAACAATCAAAAATGCGTGCTGGTGTCATACAGGTTTGTTTACATGCTGTTTCATCGGTTAAGTAAAATCACTCTAGTTGTTCCTTTTTTAATGTTTCATATAAATTTTGGTTACCTTTTTCCTGCTATGATATCCTTTGTTGATAAAATCATCTCGATAAATAAGATACACTGTAAGTGTTTGGAACAAATAAACACTTTTGTGTCATTTAAGCAGGAGTGATTGGTGCTAAATATTTTTTCTAACCACATGTGTGCAAACCGCAATTAATCTCACTTTCAAGCTTAAATTGCTCATCTAACAAACAAATGGGTAGTTTAAAAATAAACTCCTTCAGTTGTACTTGAACATGCAACACTTCCACGGAAATAAACATCTTCAGTACAAATAATTCAAGCAAATAACTTCAGGTGAAATAGTGATTTTTCGGAATTTATGAAATATAAAGTAGACTACAGTGCACTAATACACAATAAATCCATTCTATCTCTTTACTCACTTGCAACTATTTGGCTCTAATTGTTCAGTACTATTTGACAGATTACAGAAAGTGACTCTTTCTGTCCTTCCAATATGCCCTTATATACTTTTGAATAAAATAAAGCAGTTGACACCTGATTGAGGAGTCAAGGCTATTGTATTCACCCATTCACTCACAATGGTTGGTAAGATTTCTTTTTTATATGGGTAATGCTGTAAACATAAAGATTTTCAATAATTTCTTTGCAATTTAAATGTCTGTGTCATTTTTTAAAATTTTACTGCTCTGGAAATGCACTGGATATGAAACTCTGGAACTAAAAAACTCCAAAGGAGGTTTTGTGGACAGATTCATGGGTCTGATGTGAACATGCTTAAGAGGTCACATTCTCTATTGATGTTCTCTGGCCATGTCTAGGTACTATTCACAATTTGGAGCTGGGGAATTTTGGATATAACTTGAATTAAGCATGCTTCAAAACCCAGTTGAAACTGTTAGAGTGAACACATGACCTTTTAGGTGTTTAATTATTAGTATTACACTGTATGTGCCAAATAGTTTTCCTTTACTGATTTTATTTAAAATTATAAAAAGTCTTTCTCCTCAAGTTGCCTCCATTTCCAGTCTCTCCACATTCCATAATGATGCTGTTCTGTAATGCTCAATAAGACCCATCCATCGCTATCAACTTGCTCTAAGATAATTGCCACATCTATCAACTCTTCTGTGGTCTCCTTGGTCCAAAATTCCAAGGCTCTATCCCACTTGTAATGGCATACTTGGCATGTTACAAAAACATCTCTGCATAGTATAAAATAATGATAATAATAATGATATTCCCCTAAACTACTTAGCATGTTACAAGAACATCTATGCATAGTTTTAAGTAATAATAATAATAATAATAATAATAATAATAATAATAAAGAAAGAGAAAACTTAAACAGAAGAAAACTATAAATCACTCACAAATTCTGCATACCTTATAAGAAGCATCTTTGGGAGGCTTGAGGAGCTCAAACAGGACAAAATCTTCATCATCTGGTTCACTAGCTATAAAAAAAAAGCACACAATGCTTTCATTAGCAAATAACAAAAAACAAACAAGGTTTATAGAGATAAATAATTATGGAACAATGTAGCAAAAAACTCATCTTACAAAAACAAAGAGACAAAGAGTGAAAATGGTCAACATAATTATTAACTAACTTGAATATTGTTTTCATTTGACAGCTCTGTGTCTTTGTCCAGTAGTTGAATGTCTAATGGTGAAAGAGGAGGGGGGAGAACAAATAGATCATCATTCATATCGTCATAATCCTCCTCAAAATCTCCTGATTCATACTTACCAGGAAAAGCAACACCAAAACCAGCAGAAACCTCTTCCATGGTTTTTTCAGGACTAAATGGACTCACTCCTGTTTTGCATTTCTTGATTCTATCTTCACCTATTCTTGCACTGCTGTCTTCACCAGCACAATGCACAAAACAGTATCTGCCAGTTTTTCATAAACATATTTCTGGCATCCATAGAAGCTACAATCTGCTAAACAAAATATAGTATTTGTGATTAAGTACTAGCTATCTATGATTGCTACCTTTATACCCTAACATCAATAGGCATATTCTCTGTACTGTTCTCTATACATTTCCTGAACTGTTGACAAGGAGAATTTGTTTAAAAATCAAGAGCTTTATAAGTTGGTGATCATTTCCTTGATTCTTGTGACCTTAATGTTTGATTCAGGGGTGATATTGTGAGGAGAAATTAGAGGCTGGCCACTCTTAGGGGTTAAAGGGTAAAGATTTTTTCTTTCATTAATGTATTGCAAACTGTACATAACTAGTAAAGCAGATCCTATTTAATGGTTCAGAGATGACCTTTCTACAAGTAACTGGAGTTGAGGCAATGGAAGATATTATTGCATGCTCAGTGTATTGTAGCATGATAGTATTTAAAAGTTTCCTGTTTCTGAATTCCAGCAGTGGATAACTCTTGTATTCCAGCACTGTTATTTTCCAGCCCCTCTCAGCTGTTCTCAGTTTCTCAGCAGGAGTTAACTGTTGTATTCCAGAACTGTTAATTTCCAGCCCCACACAGCTGTTCTGAGATTACCAGCAAGGAATACATATTGTTTTCCAGTACTTACTTGTATTTTCCAGCCCCTGCAAGCTGTTCTGTCTTTTTTGTTTTCCAGCTGGAGGTAACTGTTATTTCTAAGCACAATTATTTTCTGGCCTCTCTAGGCTGATTGGAGTTTTCCTGCTCAAGTTAACTGTTATTTTCCATAAAACAGAATAATGTTTTAGGACCCAGGACCCAGGCATGAAGCGAAGAAACCTTCCTTGGAAACCTTGGAAACAAGACAATAATGTTTTTAATTGCTCAGATCAAAACCAAAAAATTTTATTGTTTGTTAAAAACAATGTTAGATAATGTTAAATGTTGTATAATGTTAAAATTATCAAGGCCAACAGTAATTCTGAACACAAAATTTAATAAATTTGACACCTGTGGAGTATGTAGCATCGCTCATGAATGAGACAAGAATGTGCTTTTAAATTTCCATCATACCTGAATAATGTCTGTGTAAAATTTGAGCTCAGATGTAGTATTTTCAACTTATAAATCTACTCCTAGCAAGTGGCCCTGGCAACCTATCTTTAAATGTAACTGCCAATAAAATAACCCTCCATCTTCATAAAGATCTAAGTAAGCTTTTAAGGCCTTCCTGTCATTTTTTTAAAGCATGGCCTCACAAACTTTTTCTTTTAGCTCCACTGATAAAAAAACATTTAGGGAAAGTCAAATAATCAACAAGCACAACTAGTGCTTAAATAATAAGTTGGCAATTGACTGAGACACCATTAGCACCACAATAAAAAAAGCAAGAACCCTCAACTGGCTGAAACTTGCATCATTCAGTTGCATAGTAGTAGATACCTCTATAACACAGACACTAGGGAAGGTTCTCAGAGAGGTTACCTTTGATACTTTTATAACTATAAAAGTAATAGCTTTCACAGCAGTTTAAAGTGATTTAATTTTCAAAATACAGTTAACTTCTTCACTTATCACACAACAGCTGTGCAAAGTATATCAATTGTAAATAACAAATGTGGAGAGTTACAAATTACTTTCAGTACTTTATAGTGCAAGTAACATGTTCCTTACCATCATTTTTATGTGTTTTATTTCCATTTAGACTCAAGTGGCTGTAACAAAAAAACAAACTCAAATAATTTTACCTCACTTCCTAAAGCAAGAAATCACAAGACTAAACAACAAGTGTAGAAACTTAGACATACTTAGGCTAGAACCCTAATTCAAAAATAAAAAAACTACCCCCCTGCAAAAAAAAAAAAATGAACCACTGTCTTTGGTACCATCCTGGTCCTCCTTTTCTTTTTTTTTTTACTTTTCTTTTCTATCAACTTGCAAACACATACCATGCTTCTTCTTGATGAGAAGAGTTTCCATAAAAACCCATATAACCAGAAAGAGTATTGGCAAGATAGATAACCAAATGAGTAGTGGTATTGAACTAAAGCTTGTGGCAATTCACCGACCTGACTATTACACCCTATTCTTTTTCCCCAGGTCTATGTGAACTAGATTTTGAGTATAGAATGCAATACCTCACCAAACATCTGCTAGGATGACTCACCTAAAAGTGTGCATGATTATCATCTCTTGCTGAGATAGCACACTTCACTTCAGTGTTTTTATTACTTCACATATGGGGGCTTTGGTAAGATTGTGGAAAGGAGGGACAACATTTGAGCAGCTGGGTGGGACAAAAATGACAGTGTGGCAGCCATTTATTCCCTCTTGGACTAGGGAATAGTCTAGGGAACCTTTCCTTGGAAATTTAAAAGTTTGGATGTCCAAAAGGGTCCATTTTAGGCCACTATTTCTCAAGTTGGCTAAAAATTATATCTGCTACAAGGGAGAGTGTTGACACTGATTTGATGAATAGAGTAGCTTTTACAGAACGAACTATATAAACATTATACATAGCAATGTTGTATCATAGATGATGTCTGTGTGGTCTTGTTTGATTTTTACCTTTGCCTTGCTCAAAAATATGAAATTGTGTCCTGAACAACATTACATTTTGGGGCACAGTGCTGTGATTTCTGACACAGTATATTTAAAGTGATAACTGATTGTAAAGGAATTAATTGGTACTTCAATGATGAATGTAGAGCACAGCAATCAATGTAAACCATCATACCAAAAAACATGGTGACTGGTACATTCACCTAGAACTCTTTGCACAAGAAAATCCTGGAACCACTCAAAAATTCAAGCAGAAAAAATCTGAAAAAAATTAAAATTTGCATACATAATGTTGTTGTTTTGTGAAATATTGCTTTCTACATGTGTCTTACCCTAAGAATAAAGGTAAAATGTACAGGCACCATCTTTGTCTGTAAGTGGATTGAATCTATTGGGTAAACACCAGAAAAAATAATAATATTGATACAAATAGGCTGAGGGTTTAGTATAGGTATGCTGTGGTTTAGTTTTATCCTTGGTTTAATTCTTTTACTTTTAATAGAGGCCAAATTGATAGTGACATATCATCTCACCATAACTTAGGCTAGGAGCTAAATTTTATCTTTTTTTACACAAAATGCATTTTTCATTCATATATCATTCACAAAACCAAAGGAAACTGATTTTTACACCAAGGACAAGAATTAAGCACAACACATACCTTTTCATAACTAGTGCATAATTTGCTAAGAAAATGTATACAATAGAGCTTACCACCTCATTGGCACTTTTGTTTAATTTGCTTTGCTGATGGTTCTTATCCATGCCTGTATGAATGGGTGAAAGGATTGGTATTTTCTTCACAAAGATAGTTGCAGAGAGTGTCTCCATTGATATATGGATCACCAAACACTCACAATGAATGTCAACAAGACCAAGTTCTTGCTAACAAGTGTAGGAGCAATAATCACTAATAATGGGCAATAGTCTGTATTGAATTAAGTATTCATTTGTGCATGAAGTAGTATTTTTTTCATTTTAATGTTTGTAACACACAATTGAAAAAGTATGTAAAATGTGGTAATTTAGTTCAAGGGGCTTTCTTCTAAATAGATCAAAAGAAAGAAAGTGGCAATGTCAGCCACTGATTTAAATAGAAACGCACATATTATTAAGTGTAGAGTAATTTTGCTGCAAATTTGTGCCCTTCTGGGTGAGCAAAGAGATCGAATGAGGCCCAACTGTTACTTGCTGGAGAGCATTAGGAGCCAGCACCCTATCCTTTATAAGAGACCTGATCTTCATCATATGTGTAAGCAGTTTGTAAGTTAACTTTCTAGGATATGTAAAGTTTAACATCGACCATACATCCAATCTGAATTTTTGCGTAGCCCCATACATTTACAATGAATACATGTCTTCCACTGTACCCATAATAGCCATCAGTGTAAACACTATGAGATTGCTACATGTAACATAATACAAATTATTATGAGGCTGGAAGAAAATCACAAGAGATCTGTCCTGTTTTTTAATCGTGTGATATCTAGTGTTGCATGTCCCAAACAAAATTAAAAAGTCAGTCCTCGACACAGAAGGATTCAATGAATCCAGGTACCATGCAGCTACATGAAATCTACTGGAATTTAGCACAAAACTTGAACGCGATCTTTGAAGAATGGTTGTAATATTTAAAATTAAAAAAATACTAGCATGAAGTGCAACGAAAACCTTACCTTATTGTACTAGCTCCAACAGAAAAGTAAGGAAAGCCATGAGGCAATATCAAATAGACCTTTTTACAGTACTAGCGACTAAATACAGGAATGGCTCCGACCTGTAATTGGATGATAAACACAGTAAAAGATGAAATAACAATGCAAGTGAAAACACCGATCGGCGTTTTCACATTGCTATCTCATCGTTCCGCTTCGAGACACGCGGTTAACAATAGTCACGGGCAAGGAGTTAAGATATAACTTATTAACTTTTACTATTTTTATTATCCAATCACAGATCGGAGCCATTCTGTAATGGCCGTCATCTTGGAATTCCAAAACCTGAGGAAGGCTGGGGAGATGGATAAAGTCTTACCAAGGGGGTGGTGATAGGTTAATATCAACCATGACGGCTCGATCTGGAAATCTGTCAATAGTTCTTGTAAGCTATTAACTAGCACCTCCTAATTAGATTAGATGACAAATACTTCAGAGATATAATGATGAAAATGCGCAGCAACGCTATGAGAATTTTGATTGTTATTTGGCTCGCTGCACTAACACACGTTGTGGCCGAGGTAGACCCGTGTTCGTGCAGGAAGGAGTCGAATCAGGTCATGTTCATTTCTTTTCCCCATCCCTCCCGTCCCTACCCAGTCTGATACATTCCTTGGTCCCACTCCATCACAACTCTTCCGGCTTTTTCTAAGTTCCGCTATGGCTGGCTGCAAGCTGTTACGATATGTTTGTTTGTTCCTTCTTGGATATGTAGGAGCAGTCACTGCTACCTGTGAGAAGACAAGTGACTGTTCTTGCCGCATGAGTGATGGCAAAGTCTTGAACTTGGAGTCACTGCAGGGTAAAAACCCAGGTCCCAGGTAAAATTCCGTCGATCGAACAACTTTCACTTTTTATACTCTAAAATTTAATAATTTAAGAGAGTATTAAGAGTTAAATGACTGTTCTTGCGCTAGCGTTGCGTTAACCGACAGTTTTGAACAATCGGCAGAGGAATATTTCGTCTCAAAATTATTCGTTGTAGGGCACTCTTTGTGACAGGAACTTAGCGACATGTACGAAGTGTTTGGTTCACAGCGATCGCAAGATCTCAGACGAATGCACTCCCTTATCGGGTGGTCCGGCCGCAATGCCCAAAATAGTATGTAATATGTTGTGGTTCAAGGAAATTCCTATGTACACGTACACACATGAACCCACTCATGTCAAGGACTCAGTCAGTGGAAAATCTACAGGGTAATGGGAAGCTGGGTCTTCTGTAATTTTGAAATAAAATAAACCGGGAAGGGCAGGCTAAACGTAGAGAGGTTATCATGGAAAATGTGTACAGGTATTTATATGGCATAATTTGAGATAGATTAAGTGGCACTGTTGCTTGCAAAGGACTGCATGCTGGATTGATGAACTTCATGATTCTGTCCACAGATCAATGTCAGTATCATGGCAACTCTACTTCTACCCCTCCCGTAACCTAACCACAGTCAGCTAATAACAAGTTAGGGGTAATGTTGGTTCAGGGGAAGGGTGGGTGGGATAATGGCATTGATACATTAATCCCTGTACACTTCATGTCTCGAATACTTTGAACAAATTACAATTTGCTAGTATTTATGGTCATGATGGGGAGAGGGGGGGATTTGAGTAGAGAATGATTGCTGATTTGATTCCATGGAGGAAATATTACACAAATGTGAATTATTCCTTGCAGTCCATAACACTAGGTGATCCAAAAATGTTTCGGAAGGAAGGCATCCAAACTTTGATTTGGTAAACACAGAGTTCTTCTTTTGTTTTCTAGGAATTTACTTATTAAACAACTCGTGCCCCCTTCCCTTAATTCACTCAAGGTTACATGCCATATGTCATTAGGTCAACTTTTTCATCATGTGTATAATATTTGAATGCTGGTCAATGCTTCTGGTTTGCAATTATAGGCAATGGTGTGTTTCACACCTAAGTATGCAATGTCTAGTTGCTACAAACATACATACAGACAGAGGTTTGTTTGTAGCAACTAGTTGTTAAAAACACTATGTCTGTAATTTGTATTTGAAATACGATAATAAACGAATTAAAAAAAAAACTAGCTGCTACAACATCTAGGAAACAAAAGTCAGCCAGTTGAATAGTAAGTTGTAATTCAATCATTGCAAGAATTGTGGTGTCAGATAAGACATGATTTAAAACCTACAAATCTTATGTGAGGTGGCTCAGGATCCTTCACACACCGCTTCCTCTGGATCTACCACTGCTAAACTCAGAGAATTCATGCAGCACAAGTTTGAATTTGTAACTAAGTGGTGTGATGTGGCAGTAAATTATTGGTATGTGATCCTGCTGAAGGCTGGTGAATTTAGCTAAAAATGTTGGTGAAGGAGATCATCTTATTTGACTCTTCATTAGTAGTTAAATTTTGTACTATGAAAGGATATCTGCATTTGAATAGACTATAAATCAATATACCTGTACATAATAATCATATGGTGAATTGGCATGCATTTTGATTTGTGTGTGAGATCTTTTTGAGATCTATCAGTGGACAGACACATAAATGATGTGACCAGTAAAAATGTTTTGCTTTTTTGTTATGTAAAATTAATAGATGCCATGTTGCTGTGTGTCTGTTCAGTAATTTATCTTAGAAGACTCCTAGTGTGAATATCAGTGTTACCCTGGGCTGTGTCTGATGTGTGCCACTTTTTTGTTCTCTCTATGGTTTGATGTCATCTGTGATCTTTTACTGAACAGATCCATGGCACCATGGAATTTACATACATGTATGTTTCACTTTTTGTGTCAGTTCAGTGATGATATATAAATTATGCTCTCTATTATAATGCAGCTTCACTGGCATGAAGGATATAGATAAGCCACCAAATTCATATAGCTGGAGTCCCTGCAAAACATTCAGTCAAGACCCTGGTTGTCAAAATACTTTGGTGAGTCATTTTCAACTTGATTTGAATTCAATAAACCAAAATTTTGCAGCTCTAGTTTAAATTGTGTACTCCTATGTAGTTATCTGCCACTGAGCCAGCTTTGTAAAGAGAAAAGAAAGTTAATTGTTAATCTGCTAAATTAATCTGGTCAAGGGTAGTACAAATCGACCAGATACCCTGTAAAATGTAATCACAATTTTTGTAATGTTCAACTGGTAACCTTTCAGTGGCCAACAATCATTGGAGGGTAGTTGTTCTTCACAACTACCAAATATATATAGAATAGACCCTTTTACAGTTCCCAAGGCCATATTGGACATGCAACTGCGCACACATGAGAACGAGGCTGGGGTTGGCTGGTGTTAAATCTCTGTGAGTGCTTTTGGTGAAAATGGATGGTCCTTGCCAAAATCTAAACAAAGCTAATTTTTCTCCCAAAAAGAAAGGAAAACAGTGTGCTGCTTTTGGTTGTTCAAATACATTTTATGGCCCCAATGGTTTGTCTATGAGCTTTTACTTCTTCAAGTTTATGCATGGAGGCATGTATTTTTGCTAAGTATTTATTGTTCTATACTTATCTTATTCTCTGTGAATTATGGATGAGGGTAACTATTGTTGCAAAATTAGTACAAATTTTCTATTAGGTACCTGAATTGTTTTAAGTTCAATAGAGTTTTTTTTATTCTGGCAGTAAGTCAATAAGTTCAGTACTAGTACTGCTCACCTGTTTACTACATGGCTTGCCTAAAACACTCCTAGCAGAGAAACTCTTGGAATGTAATTGGTTTTAATAAAATAATCAAGACACTGTATCTTCAGAGTTTTCACTTATTATGGCAGACCCAGAAAACTAACACGAATTTGGTAGCAATTGTGACAAAAGCAGTTTTCAGTAGTTGTTGTTTTTGTTTTTTATGATAGCATAGTAATCCACTATGGATGCCACATGGAACTCTCAAAAAATATTTGGTGTGATTTATGTATCAATCAATTTGATGCTTCAAATTGAAAAAAGGAAAAACTGAGTTTCACCTACTAAAGAATTATAAACACAAAGATGAAATATGACACTTAATTATATTATTCACAAAATTGTCCTCATTATAAAAAAGTTTGATAGAAGTCTCACAAAAAATAAAATGCAATAAAAACTAGTATAGCAGACCTTTGTGTCAGAAGGCCTCTGAGTGCTAAGAGTGGGAATATCAATTCACTGAATGTTTATCACTGAGAGAAACTTAAATGTGTGTAAACAACTAGCATTGTTGAGATCAGTAGCTGAGAGGAGGCATTTCTGTTCTGACTTCCTTTAACCCCAAAACACCAAAGATCTGATTGTTAATTCTACTTTCTAGTTGCTACACATTTACTTGTAAATAAGTTATGAGAATTTTATGTAAGATCAAGATAACTTCTGCCTGATAAGTTTTAGTATTATAATTATCTGTTTGCTGGATAGTGTTTGGATATTATAGGAAGGAGCTACATGAATCAGTCACTTTTGGGAGTTTTTAAATTGTCTAATATTTTGGTCTGATTCTTTCAATGCTGTCTTGCCACCTAATAAATTACCATGAGTCACAAACTGAAATGGTTTTCAATGTATCACAAGCATAAGTTGTCCTGGGCCAGATGGATTTCAAAATATTATGACATCTGTTAGTTACAGTTTCCCTCATGGGTTGATAGCAAGAAGCGTTATAATCAAGTGGCTCTACAGGCTCTGTTGTTATATCTCATAAGATACAATGTACAAATGGCAAACTAAAATACATCTTGGTAAACAAAATGGGAATAACTTTAACTGAAGAATACGGCACAACAACAAGTACTACATCAACAACAGCAGCAATAACAAATCTCCTCTACCTAGTGGGCTACAGCCTTTGCCTTGCTTTCTAAGCCATACTGAACAGCTTCTGTGGTACTTCCTGTAATACATTCCTCTCAACACAATTTGGCGATATTTTCGTGAAACAACGGGGTAATCGTAAAGCTGAATGAAATTCATTTCAGGTAAATTACAGAGATTGCTCGACCATCCAAGGGCTTAAATCCTTACCATAGTGTTACTTTGTATTTGAAGTCACTCTGGTTTTGTTCTAGGTCCTGGACATCTGTAAGAAGTTCTCAGTTTTCTCCACTACTTGATGAAAGGATGTGTCACATCAGCAAAGCATAAATTTTCGGCATTAAGTCGCCTCTAATTCCACCCATTGATTTTGAATTAGATTATAAAATCTCCCCGAGATCTTCTGCTTTGAGTTTCTGGATGCCATCTAATGACGAAATTTCCATATTGTTGTATTAAAGAACCATTTTGAAGGGAGAAATCGCATTTAAAAGTGCATTAGAAGGTGAAATGTCAGCAGATCAGCTGTTTGAAAGAACCGCTGGGTCAACCCCAGCCTTGTTATTGTGTAACATTTGATTGAGTGTTAGGTAAAAATCTGTATAATGATTGATAAAACCCGACTGTGGTTTGTTATAAGTTTAAGTCAGACTCTCGTAGCATGTCTTAAGTTATGTTAACCTACTTATTAAGCTGATTTCATAAGTGTTGCATCTCCTTAGTGATTCTATTCCCCATCTTTTGCCTTTTTTTTAGCTATGCCAGCGAGCAAATGGTCGATATTACCCAGTTGCAGAGGAAGTGAGCAGCTTTGATGAAAGCAGTGATGGTATTATAAGTATAATATATGCTCCATTTACTGTTCCGTCACCAAAATTCACAAGGTAACTGGTCATGACTGGGAATTTACTCTGATTCAGAAATTTGACGTTATTTATAGCTCCCATTACCCAAAAAAATATTGTGATATGCGAATCAAGGATAAAAGTGACCCTGTGATAGCATTTACAAAAATCTTCATGTGGCTTAGACAGTATGCATGCTACATGATTTCTTATAAAAGATTAATTGATTATCATAGTTTTACATAGTATTACTGAGATTTACACTCTGAAGAGACACAAAATAAATTTTCACTCATTTCAAGAAGTGAATCAGATGGCCCATAGTGCCTTTTTCATGTGTGAGGTAAACGTTACCTCTAATCATGATCAATTAATAAACCTTTAACTTGAATTTGTTTAAGAATAAATTGCCACTAAAGTCTGTGGGTGATGGTGTTTACACAATGTTTGGTTTGTATCAGAAATCTCACTTGTTCACTAGGCTCACTTGTTTGATCATTTTATGATACTACCTACTTGTGAGAATTTTTTAAAAAATATTTCCCATATGGGCAGACTTTCAAGTTAAATGATGTAGTCTTGCCAAACTTTTCCTTGTGTTGCTTCACCTGAAAAAATATAGGAAAACTACTTATTCTATTGATTCAGGGCACAGGTATTCCCCAGCTGTCACAGAGACAGCTTTGTTATGATCAAGTTCAGACTTTTGTTGGGTCTTAATTTGCTAAGATGAAATTTTAGTCTCAAATACTTTGCTAGTAAGCTGGGATCCAAAGTCACTGTGTAAATTAGAGCACTCTTCAGGGCAGTGAGGCTCTTTAGTGCATTTATGTTTGTAAAGTAAGGTAAGAATGATAGCAATTAATGTAGATGTAATGCGCAGGTGAAAATTTCTTTTCCTGGATTGATATTTGTGTAATACAAATCAATAAATATTATTATTATTACTATTATTGTCATTATTGTTGTATTTCTTTTCAGAAAAGCAACCATTGTGTTGAAGTGTGACCAACATCAAGAAAAAGGAACGTTTAGTCAATTTGTTGAGCACAAAATAAATTCTACAGCGTCATCTTATGTAAGTACCAGGCCTATTTGGAGTGTATGTATGTGCTTCTATTGCCAATTGAGAAAGAGAGTCATGCATACTCAAAGGATTGAAATCACATCGATGTTCATTTTCTGATATGGGGCACCAAATTGCCACGACTCTTTCAGCTTCGTTTGTAGTGCATCTATTTATTTTGCTCTTTTTTGTTCTGTAATGTTTATCTCAGACCTCCTTGTATTGTCCCTTCTCTTTGTTATTCAAATGTCTGTTTGGTTTAACCCTTTAACCCCTAAGCGTGACTAGCATCTAATTTCCCCTCACAAATCAACCCAGAATCAAACATTTAGGTCATAAGAATAAAGGAAATGATCACCAACTAAAGAAGCTCTTGATTGCTAAACTAATTCTCCTCCTCGGCATCTTGGGAAATGTTTAGAGAACATAATGAAGAATATGCATACTGATGTTAGGGTGCAAAGGGTTATAAATATACTGAACTGTTCTGGTTTCCTTTCTCCATAGACAGCAACGCTTTCTACCAAATATGCTTGTTTCAAGAGTGGAGGACTAAGTACTGGCAGTATTCTTCTCATAGTGTACGTAAGGCGACTCAGCATCCGTAACTCAACCTTGCAGCTTAGATCAAATTAAATGCATTTATGCAATGAATAAAGGGGTTAATTCTCTAACTAAAATGTGGTGCTGCGTCTTTGGGGAAGTGTAACAACTGAAGGTATTGATGACGTCATCATAAACAACGTTATTGAATTTAGGTACCATGTTGCTATGGATGTTTACATTTCATGTAATAGATCAAGGAAGACGCCAAAATGTTGTAACAACTTCAGTAACACATTTGGCTGAGCCTCGTGTGCCACATTTTTGTTATTACCATATTTTGACCTCGGTTTATTACTAGACAGACATACGGAAACACGGAATCTCTTTGTTAAACAACCTTGTCTCCCTGGGGTGGACGGTGTTTCAAAATGGCATCGTTAGCAGTTTTGGAAAAATGTTCTGTGAATTCTGACCTTTCAGTTCAAAGGGATCCTGAGTTAAAATAATTCAATGCCGACTTTAGAATATTTAGTTTGGGGGATTTCTATATTAAGTAATAATGTTTGCTGTTTCTCTTGTAGGTTCTTTCCATTGGTACTGATCTATTTCATCGCGGGGTTGTTATATAATAAAATTCATAAGGGTGTCAGCAGTTTTCCTGAAATGATCCCTAATCATTCTTTCTGGGGCGATGTCCCATTTTTAGTCAAGGTGAGTCTAGAGTTTATGGTAAGATGAGTGAAATCTTTGAAATGTTTCCTTTTGTTGTTTTCTTTGTTTGTTTGGTTCCTTTTTTGTGTTTTCTCTTTGTGGGTCATTTAAACACATGCATTCTACTGAGGTTCGACCTCCATAATGAAAATGCAGCCATTTGTGTCGAAAATTTTATAGCCTCTTTATTCAAGTCACTGGTAGCCCTCTAAATAAGGCAGAGCAAATGAACAAAAACTGAGCTAAACAGCCCTAAACCAGCCCGGAAAACCCACATGATGCAAGGAACGAGGAACGTTTTGTTTTCGTTAAAAACTAAGGGTGCAACCGTTCATTTCCATACAAATATTTATATTGAATATGTGCATATTTACGGAGGTTTATTCCGCAAGCTTGGGTGACCTGTGGTTGAAGTAAATGAGCCGTTTACTCGAGAAAATCCTGTCTAATTGCATACGAAACGATTGTATTTTTGTTTTGTTTTGTTTTATTTTAAATTTTCTTTCAAACCTAAATAAAATGGCTTTAGATTTTAAATTTCTTGATATGAAAATGTTATTTTAAACGCTTAGATTTGGTCAAAATGTTCAGGCGATTTTGTGTCCGAAGTCTACGGCCCGCACTGAATTAAATCGAACGTGCCCTGTATCCATTTTCAACTTTGAGATATCATTAATAATCCAGATGATGTCTTTTCCCAAATGTGTGTCTTGAAATAAATCATATTCTGTTTGTGAGGATGACATTAAAAAGACAAGATCTTCAGAAGTTAATTGCAACGATGTCACTGCGGAAAACTTGATAACTTTAGGAAAGTCTGGTATCAACCAGGAACAAACCATTACCTTTCAGTTTTCGTCTAAGTGCTATTATCAACTGGGCCTCTAAGCCTCATGTTGGTAGCACGGCAAATCTATGGGGATATTCCTTCCTTATGATAGAATCTGCCTCATTTCTCTTTACATTGATCTTAAGTGTTGTCATGACATAGCTAGTAAATTTGTCTAATCAAATTCAATTGCGTGAGCGTGCTTCATATTCCTATTGTGCACGCTCATGACTTCAGCAAGCAAATCCCTCGAGAAAAAAAATTTTCCATCGGGTTGAAAATGTTATCAAACAATTGGTTCATAAGTCAGCTGTGCGTTCATCGAGATATAAAACACTTGGGAAGTTTAGAGAGCACTCAAGAAGCTAAAGTTGCTCGAGGCGTGGCCGAGAGCAACTCTTACGCATCTTTCGTGCTCTCCAAACTTCCCGCGTGCTTCATATCTCGATGAACGCACGCTGACGTATGAACCAATTGTTAATTGACCCGTGAAGACTGATTCGTCACTTTTTACTGTCCGTTTCCCCTTTTCTTTTACAGGATGGCTGTGTTTTCACATTTCAAGGAATGGCTGGCTGTTGCAAACGTGTGTCTATGAAGGTCAAAGGGGACTCTTATGCTGAAATATAAGATTATACTTAAATTTCTTTTCTTTTTTTTTTTTACAGCAGTGATAACATTTGCGAATTATTATGTGACTTACGCGCAGGGTAATGTACGCGATAAGTTAAGACTTTTTATGCGTTGCTTTTGTGGTCAGCCTAGAAGATTAAGTTAGGGTTTAGGAAAAAAATGCCGTTAAACATTTTTTTTATAGCTCAGTGGCCCCGCTTTTGTTCATGCTGCTCCAGTCTTATGGAACTCGTTGCCGTTACCAATCAGATTCTGTAGCAGCCTTGCTACTTTTAAGAAACAACTCAAAATATTTCTTTTCAGGAGAGCGTTCAGTACTCATTTATAATGCCCAATTTATTGTAAATTATTTTTGGATATTTGCGTAGTCTGAGCACTGTATAAATGTTTAATTGTTATTATTATTATCATTATTATTACTATTATTATTATTGTTAATATTATTATTTAAAATAATTAGGGACCGCTAATTATCTGTGGGGGGGGGGTTGGAGAATTTTGCTTGTGTCACAATGAAATTTACCTTATCCCCCTCCCCCCCACAGACTGTGTAATTCTAATGATCTCCTCTCATTGGCAGTGAAGTTTCTATAGTCCACCCTTTACACTCTGTTCTCGACTACTGATGGCCTCGCACTTCCCCCTGAAAACCATTTGATCCCCCCTTCCCCCAAAAAAATCAGCTCGTACCCCCCCCCCCCCCTTTTTCACCGAGCGATAACTATTGATTGGTCTCTTAGGTAAGATAATTTGCTTACATCAAGTGTAATACGCGCCCGCAAGGTCTTCTTCGGTCGTTTGAACGCGAGACTTGCTTTGCATTGCTGATGTAGTCTACCAAAAAGATAAATTAATGATTAATTGGTAGAAAAGCACGTGTCCTCTTGTAGATATTTTAAGAAAAAGCGCTGGTTTAGTCGGAGAGGACTGAAAAAATGAAAAACTAAAAGAAAATTTCATGATTTTAGTGCATTCTAACGAACAAGCCAGTGAGATAAATGCACTGGACCTCTTGATGAAAACATTTTGCATTTTAACGCAAATAGGGTTGTTAATGTCGATATTTTAAATCAAAATAGCCAGACTGATTCATGCAGTCTCTTCTTTAAAGAGATAATTTAAACTTCTATAAAAATTTTTGTTACAGACCTAAAATGTAGGAAAATTCTCTGAATAATTTTTGCAGTAAAGCGAATGATGGATTTTATTTGGACATGGTTCTGTTATTGTGTGCTTTCTCCTTATTTAATTTTTCTTTCCTTTTTCTCTGGTATATGTAATGATGAGCTCAATTACGCACGTGTCTTAATTGCTTCCTTGTCATGATCAATTGGATGACAGATCTAGACTATATGATATTAAACAAATAGATCCCATGTTGCCGAGGGTACAGCAATAGATCTCAAAAGACGTTAAAATGTAGGAAGTATATTAATGACACACTCGGCTGCGCCTTGTGTACCAATTTTTTTATTTCTGTCCCATTTTTCAACTACTAGTTCAGTAGTGTTAATAGCTGCGAGGATCGCTTATATCTCATTTCTTCACCGCAGTGCAAATACATGATTTTCAAATATTTCCAGTCATTCCCACTTGGAAGGTTTATTTGGACCCAACATTATAACCGGCTCCCAGTTGGCTTGTTAGCCCAGCTGGTAGAGCGCTGCACCAGAATCCCGTACGGGCCTGAATTTTTTTCTGTTCTCATTTAAACTACTAGTTCAGTAGTGTTCATAGCTGCGACGATCGCTTATATCTCAAATCTGCAATCTAATACTGAGCAGGGCAATTGGGTATTATCAACTGAGTTGCTAGCATAAATTGAGCTTCAAAGCTGACGTATCGAGTGTTAGCCCTCCGTCTAGGCGGATCATCATCTCCAGCACCTCAGTTTCTTTTCTTTGTTACTGAACAACTCGTAGCGTCAAGGAATCCTGTGAAGTGGCCTGTATATCGGCTTTTTCCGTTTCCTTGTATCCTAGTGGTAGAGGCACGAGGGTAGCCAAAGCCGCGCGTGCGCATAAGGGGTTTAAAGTGACAGACCCAAGTCTGCCATATCTACCCATACCCTATCTAATACCCCACCTCGTGGGTTGGGAACAAGGTCACTGAGAGAGAGAGAGCTCTCTTCTCACATTCGAATAGCTACTGAAACGACCAAATAGCGTGCAGAATGGGTGAGAGTGAAGATGCCATGCAAAAGATGGATAAACTATTACCAAGGGGGGTGGTGATAGGTTAATATCAAACATGGCGGCTCGATCCGAAATCTGCCTTTAAGCTATTAATTAGCACCTCCTAAAGAGAGTAGATGACAAATACTTCAGAGATAAAATGACGAAAATGCTCAGCAACGTTATAAGAATATTGATTGTTATTTGGCTCGCTGCTCTAACACACGTTATGGCCGAGGTTTATGAGATGTTATAGACCCGTGTTCGTGCAGGAAGGAAAATGGGAAGATCATCAGTTTATGGGACATCAATGGGGGTTCCAAGGAACCAGCATGAGTAATATAAGTCCTTCATCAATATCAGATATTTTGAAAAATAATTGTTATATTTTTATGAATAGGACAATGTGTAAATAAAGCTTGTTTTTTTTACAGTTGATTAAGAGATCGCTTAATTCCATATGAAGATAGTAGGCTGAAAAAAAACAATTTGTTCGAGAATACCAAAATGAGCAAAACTTAAGGGAAATCAGACGAAAAACACCCTCTCTTAAGCCAGTGGTGATAGACAAAGTGGTTTAGGCGAGTCAGATCATGTCCATTTCTTTTCCCCATCCCTCCCGTCCCTTCCCAGTCTGATGCATTCCTTCGTACCAGTCCATCACAACTCTTCCGGCTTTCTCTTTCTAAGTTCCGCTATGGCTGCCTGCAAGCTGTTACGATATGTTTGTTTGTTCCTTCTTAGATATGTAGGAGCAGTCACTGCTGCCTGTGAGAAGATAAATGACTGTTCTTGCCGCATGAGTGATGGCAAAATCTTGGACTTGAAGCCACTGGATAAAGACCCAGGTCCCAGGTAAAAGTCCGTCGATCGAACAACTTTCACGTTTTGAACTCTTCGATTTAATAATTCAAAGAGAGTATTAAGAGTTAAATGGCTGTTCTTGCGCTAGCGTTACGTCAACCAACCGCTTTGAACAATCGGCAAAGGAATATTTCGTCTCAAAATTATTCGTTGTAGGGTACTCTTTGGGGCAGGAACTTAGCGACGTGTATATACACGTACACGCATGAACCCACCCATGACAAGGACACAGTCAGTGGAAAATCTCCGGGGCAATAGGAAGCTGGGTCTTCTATAATTTTGAAACAAAAAAAAACGGGGGAGGGGAGGCTAAACTTAGAGGTTACCATGGAAAATGTGTACAGATATTTCTATGGCATACTTTGACATAGATTAAAGGGTAACTGACGGCTAACGGGTCATTTTTTCTGAATACCGTCTAAATGCCTCGGCTAACACTTTGAAACAGGTACAAGGTGCTTCGAATGCCTCTTTGTGCCTTTTTTCGCCGGGAAAAGTGTCCTAAATGCAGTTTCGTGAGTTACCCGCCATAAACCCTTCGATTTTGATCATGTGACCTTCACGTCACACGTGTGTACATTCAGCAAAGTAAATATGGCGAATAGTACTTCGAGGGAAAGCAGTTATATTTCGTGGTCTGATTATTCGGATTTTGAGGCTTCGATGGAAAGCGAACATAATGGAAGGGTTTATAAATATGTTGGTGAAATCAGGCCTTGACAATTTGAACCGCCAGGACGAACGTAACCTAAAATAGAGCGCGAGAGTCAGAGGAGGATCCATAGCCCATGCGCCGCGGCCGCCTCAATCAAGAAAGCGAGAATGGTGAGTGCATCTACGATTATAAATAAATTATCTGAAAATCAATCGCTTATTAAATGTAGGAGCGATCAAGTAAAGAAAACTAGATGTGCAGACTCTTGAATACCATGGGGGCGAAGTGTTTTTATGCTATACGCACACACCTTCCGAAGCTAAGGTTTCACTGACTGAAGATATAAACATACACGCTTGTGGAGGTGAATTGGATGGATTATACACGTTCACATACGATTGAATCGGTTTTTAAGTTTTCCTGTGTTGAATTTGACGAACGATTGAAGATTTCTCGGCTTTTACTTTAAAACACGGTGCAGCAAAAAATAGAATTCGTACATGTAGAATTTTAAATAAAGTGAAGTAGCCAAAAGTTTGAGTTATCTCGCACGTTTGTGACAGTTATAAAGCTGATAACTGTTCTTTTTGGTGAAGGCAATCATACAAGTAATGTTCTCTATTTCTTCTATTCGACATCGTGAAAAAATAGCTACTTTACTCATTTTTTTTTTATGACAAGGTGTCAGTGTGGAAACTGCCAATCAATGTGGAGGGAGTAAGACAACATCTTTCACCAAGAAGTAGATGTGGTCAAAAATAAAAATTTGGAGGATGTTACAGTGGACAATTGCAGGCAGAAGCCAGATGTATTGTCCAGCATCCAGGGTTTGAGGAAACTGGTGAAGGCTGACTCCGTCTGCATTTGTTTTGTTACAAAACATCACTTCACAGCGCTTCCCTGGTTTTCATTTTCTTTGTTTTAGATCCTGTTGTTTTCCGTCCTCGTTGTAAATGTCAACGCGGCTCAGTTTTGGAATATATATATATATATATATTTTTTTTTTTTCTTTTAAGTTCAGGTTGTGATTTGAGAAACAGTACGTGCTTGTTATTTCCGTAGCACGAGTTTGTCGCGGACGCGGTTCCTTTTTTTTTTACCAAAGTACCGCGTTTTAAACGGTGGTTACAAGATAGTCCCATGGCTTGTGCTTTAATGGTTTCCTTTCTCAGGCTGTCGGCTTGTTTTATTTACGATAAACGAGCGCTAGTAATCTACTGTTCACTCAGCTGACATTGGTACATTTTTGAAACGAGTAACCTTTCGGACAGGATTGATTTCATCATGTTTCCGGTCGCAAATGAGAAACAACGCTTGAGTGTGGC